TACGCTTTTCTGTACAAATGAGGATCGGCATTGAAAGCTTAGGTTCTCAGATGACAAAAACCAATTTTGGTTATGTTCTCTAAGTTCAGGTGACAAATATAAACTGCACCTATAACTAACCTACATTTCTTTATAATTACATAATATTCTAGAACAAAATGTAGTTTAAAATCCAGCTTTACATCTGTTGCTCCTAGATTGCTGTGTATTTTTTAAGCTCTCCTATAGTGATCAAATGCAACAAGCACATTGGTATTTGTTTATCCCATTGTGTCAAGGAGGCTTTTTCCTGTTTCCTCTGATACAGCTTTTTATGTTGCACTGTAGTGGCGTTCATAATGAATAACTTTTAAAAAACAAAAATTGATGTCCATACCATACATACATTAAGGAATGCCAGTGTATCTTTTGACTCTCTAGATTGCATTAATAACGCTATAATTAATTAGAAAAGCTATGTTAACATTGCCTGAAGCAGCAATTGTAGCAATTGTTTCCACCCAGGTCTCCACCCCTTCCCCCACTCTACCCCATTCCAAAAAATCAATTAAAAAATAAATCACAGCTTTGTACTTAAAGAAGTCTGACAGACTTGCTTTCCAAAACTCCAGTGACCTATCAGTCCATCTTCTTTAAGACTAAGCATGAACACTACTGAAGCAAAAAAAGAATATGGAAGGAAAGAAACTGAGGAAGCCAGACTCCTCCTCTAATTATGGAATTCCGCTTGGCTATACATGTTGAACAGCAAGTACAACACTTCGTGAGGAAACTACAGTCTCTGAATAGAAAAAAGTCATTCCAGGATTGGCAGGCCTGAGCTTTAACTCAGCCATAAACCAGAGGTATAACTATGCTACTTATGCAACTAGCTACTGTAGATCTGCATATGCAAAACAACTTAACATACATGTAGTCAGCTTGAACAAAGATTAAGGCCAACCCTTGGAAGTTTACTACTATCTTTGCCAAAAAAGGGATAGAATACAGCAATACTTTGTCTACTATAGAGAGTAGTACAAATAGAAAGGAGATATATTATTAGAATTGTTCTCAATTTATCCTAAATATTAGATTACAGTAGCACATGGACAGCTGAAATCAGGATCAGTGCCCTGTAAAACTAAGTCCTGTGAAACAATAGCATGGCACCTGCTGTAGTATTAGTGAATGTAATTTTGAATGTGTAAGTTTAATGTTTATAACCCAGACAGGCATGAAGTATAAAGTCTGAACCATAACTACAGGAACACTGAAGAATAGAGCAATTTTCAAATTGAATGATGTCTTCTTAAAAAGCAACTTTCCAAACGTTTACTTTTAAGGTCTTTATTGTGTATATTTAATATGCATTTTGAATTTAGCCTTTTATTGTGGAAATCCTCTCCTTTTCTAGGTGCACTATATGCTTAATAGATCTCCTAAGTGGGCAGGCCAAACACTGTGCTTGCTCCTAGCCTAGAAGCATAAAAAAAGGACACTGAGGGAATATACTGTTGTGATTTAAATGTCAGAGACCATATTAATTTTTTTTAAAGGGCCACTAAAGACACACAGATCATCCATCATTTGCCATTATAGTTTTTAGTTTAGCTCAACAGAATAAGCAAGTGCTTGGTGACAATACCTTAATCATTTCTGTGCGTTGAGACTCTGGATCACGACCAGCCATTGGTAAGATACGTATTTTCTGAGTCTTTGAACATCTATCTGCAAGTGACAAAGTCATTTTCCTGTGGGTAGCACTGTCCGTTGAGTGAGGTCTGTTGGAAAAATCATTATAGGATGAACCCTTCTCACAAGGATACCTCAGCTTTCTAGAGACAATTATAGCCATGACTACACATAGAATTGTGAAAACACTGCAAGCAAGATGGCATTGTAAGGTCATTTTCCAAGAGAAACACACTTTATGGTTCCAGTGTCATTTGCATGTTAACTTTGATCTTCAGACATGACATCTTCACTCAAACCAGCTGATAAAAAAAGTCAGCCTCTCTTCAGTGGTACTCAGCTCCTGAACCCAGTGGTCAGGACTGAAGGATGTCTATAGAATTGATGATTATGTTACACCTAGGATGTATACAGTGACACCAGCCTTACTTTCAAGGAACAGAATATTCCTTAAGAATAAAACATGTTTTTGAGAACCTACTGAATGCAAATACAGTAAAAGAAAACCAGCAATCTACTACTTCAGACTCATCAGCACCTCCTAATGTCTAAACAGATGGTTTCAATTACAATGATTCCATACTAAATCATGATACTATCATTATCACCCTATATGCTGACTAACTGTGTGCTTACCTGAAGGTTAATTTAGTCTTGAACACAGCCTGACCCTGCAGACCAGTTCCTTGTCTGATGAACAGATGGTTATGATCTCCTTGTAGTGGTGCCTTGTACACATCAAAGACTTCATTGCCTAAATGTAGCGACATGCTGAAAAAAAAGATTCACACACCACTCACTATAGTATTAATTACTGTATTTTTCTGTTAACCTCTTTGTAGAGGAACAAAACCTTCTCATTCCCCCTTTTTTTTCTTGTACATAGTCAAGAGTTATATTTCAATCCAAACTAGAATAGAGCAGTACAGTCTCAGAGTTGGAACTAAGAGTCATTACCACTTTGCACAGCTACCTTCAAGCTCTATCCACCTCTTGTTTCTATGCGCAAGGATAATTAACTGAAAGTTCCTACTAAAAAAACCCCAAAAAACATTTTAGCACTAGCAGAAAGTTTAAGCTAACCTTCCATCTGACCACTTGACTATCCGGGCATTGCTTTCTCGAATCTCATTTCCCTCTTCATCTCGTCGCATTCGCCAACGTATGGTGTTTTCCACCTGTTAGAAGAGAAAGCATATAAGCAAATAAAATCTATCCCTACCTTAAGAAATACTGTTAGAGAAAAGAGAGAGAGAAAGGGGGGAAAAAAGATGGTCTTGCGAAGGAATAATATTTCCATATCTAACTAATTTTGCTTTGTATCCATGGTAAAAGGGATGTTTTTCTAGAACAGATACAACTCTCCCCCATTGTTTCTATGTGCAGAGGCTAAATATTGTATACAACAGCTGAGAAACTCCCATCAAAACTTCAGTAATGAGGTTGTTTACATCTTAAAATAAATGTAGATGTAGAGCAGGAGACAGATGATAACGACGAAGAAGTAGAACTCACACCATCACCTCCAGTTTGTTTCATGCAACAGTTTGAAAGAACCCAAGAGGATGACACGGAGAAAGAAAAAACTGAAGTTATACCTTCAGTTTTAATCTGGTTCTACCTTCTTCATCAAGCATCTCTTCATCTTCAAATTCATCCTCATAATACTGAGGATCAAAAGGTCTGTAACAAATCATACAATATATTCTTTATTCAGTTTTCTAAAAATGAGTCCAGAATATTCTAGAGTTACAAAATGCCAATTTTGGATTAAATTATATATTGAACACACAACAGTAGACTTCACAGTATGATATGTATACATTTCAGTAGCCATGCAATAAACCGG